GGTGTCCAATGATGTATATTAATATCTGTCTATATTGTGTATGTCCCCCAACTATTTTTTACACCACTGTATATATACAGTAAAATAGTTGATAATGTTTATGTTTTACTAACCCAATTGTTTTGTCCTTTCAGCTACTAACAACTAAAAACTACCGCAAAGTTAAGTTCGACGGTCCAATAATTTTGCCGTCACCACTCGACACTGGCAGTATAGTCGACAACACCATTTTGGAGACTCAGTTGCCAAAGAAGAAGAAAAAAAAAAAAAAAAAAACTAATAGTAATAAGTATGAATATGAGGAAGGCACCATAGGTGCCTACATTGAGCCTACACTGATATTCATAAAACCTTTTATACTGCGACCTCCAACCCGCCTGCCTGCGGAGATTGTGACAAACCCTCTTATGTAGAGCAGACTCATAGTGCAGCAGTCGACCGTCACCCGCTGTAGATGGTAGTTGATGTAGGTACAGACAGACATTAGCCTGTGTCGTATATGTACATAATTATTGTAATGCAAGATACTTTGTTGATACGTCGGGTTTCCTTACAGTTATTTGTTATTGTTTTGTTCCATCTTATAACATCGAAATGTCGTCGAGTTTTGTTTGTTTGACTTTAAGTGTGAGAGAGCCATGCTTCGCCACGAATGGGCCGGCTCGACCGGAGTTATACCACGGCCGAGCAGAAAACCGACGTGAAGCAACGCTTGCGTTGTGCTTCGTCGTGTGAGTGAGGTTACCGAAGACCCAATTACCCTCCCCTTCCCCAATCTCCCCAATTCCTGAATCCCCAACGATCCTCAAACTCCTAATCCCCAAAAGGCCGGTAACGCACTAGTAATGTCTCTGGTGTTCCAGGTGTCCATGGGCGACGCCGATTACTTACCATCAGGTGATCCGTCTGCTCGTTTACCGGCTTATGCCATAAAAAAAATAACTTAATGTTAACTGTATGACTTCGGAGTATGTCTCGAAGCAGCCAGTCTGATACTCGTGCTATCTTACTTAGTTTCGAACGGACTTTTCCTTGCAACGGCAGATCAATTTTAACAGAGGGAAGTGGAAACTTTAATATTTTTCTTCTCCTCTTATAATATCTTCTGATTCACTTCGTTGCGGGAACCAAGACAGTTATTCATGTCCCTGGGACGCGCCGGATTTCAGTGTTCCGGTGTTTTCATGGTTGTATCTACTGTAGATACTGGTGCACAGGAGTTGCAGCGGTTTTGGGAGGTTGTGGCGGGCTTGTCCCATTAAAAGGAGGAACAACTTTAAATATTTGACTATTTTTCCATTCTAAAAACTTTCAAATATTATTTTATTCTATAGATAAGAACTAAGCGATGATTGAAAGCTCGGCCCTTAGAATGTTAATATGTAACTGTGATCTGCCTCGCTGGCCGAGTGGTCGCAAGTGCGACTGCCGGGCAAGGGATCTCGGATGCCCGGGTCAGGAAAAGAATTACTGGGTTTTAAAAAAGATTCAGTAGTAACACGAATTCTAGAATTGTGCCCGGTATATGGCAATAGGCTCACCCCCTATTACATGGGACTCATAACATAAATAGTGAAAAGTGGGTGTTACTTCTGTGTGCTGACACTCCCTCCCGCCTCACCCAGGCGGGAGCAGTCATTCGATGATTAAGGGGGTTTTTTTTTAAGGGGTGACCCTTAAAAAAAACCCTCCTTCGGGGATAAAAGGCGTGATGTTATGTTATGTTATGTTGTGATGCTCTTATTTTAAAGGTAACTAAATTGCCTTGTAGGTATACGGCATACGTTACCAATTAATAAAATACTTGTATCAGACAATATTTATCAACAAATGAATAAGACATAACGCTAGCGGCTCCGTTTCATTGCTCTCAAATTTAAAGCTTTTCTCAGTACATTTGCGTTTTTTTAGTTAATTTATTATCCCATATATTTATTTAAATACTCTATAAATACATATTTAAATACTACTTACAATAAAAAATATAAAAAAATATAAAAATAGGAGCCGACCAGTGGGAGCATAGTCCAAGCTACCGGTGGTTAGGGCTCCAGAGACTGAAACCTCCTCACGATGAGCGCCGTTTCAAGGAGAACTGCCTTCTAAATCAAGCCCTTGACCCAACTGCCTAACGCTAGCCTCCTAAGGTGGTTGTCGAGGCTATTAGGAATTAACCCATTCGCGACTATCGGCACAATGATAGCCGAATCCACACTCCACATGTCAACAACCTCGTGAGCTAAGTCTAGATATTTTATTTGTTTATCTTTCTCCGCTTTCACGAGGTTCTCGTCATGGGGAATGGTGACATCGATCATCATCGTGCGGCGTACTTGTCGGTCTATCGCCACTATGTCAGGTTTATTGGCTACAATAGTCCTGTCAGTAATGATAGACCGGTGGCGGTCCCAGTACAATGTGATATGGTCATTTTCCAGAACTGGGTCGAGCACATACTTGTAGTACGGTACCTCAGATTCAACAAGTCGATAGTGTAAAGCAAGTTGCTGATGGATAATCTTGGCTACTTGATTATGCCTATGCAAATATTCACTGTTAGCCAAACGACCACAACCAGAAATAATATGTCTAATGGATTCACCAGGACTATGACATGCCCGACATATGTCAACCGTCCCATCCTTAATTATATATTTCCGGTAGTTATCCGTAAGGATAATTCGTTAATTTTGTATGCTTTTGTAAATAAAACAACTGAATAACAAAATATAACAAATATATTTGTTTGCTTAAATCTAAACATGATTGTAATATTTACTCTATACTATACAACCACAATCGTAGCTGTTACAATAGCATTCAGAGTACGGAATATAAAGACAAACTCAATACCATTTAGTTCATTCAATATCCACGCAATACGGATGCAATGGGCGCTAGTGTTGTGACTCAAGAGTACGAAATTTCACAATACTAATGTCGATCGATCGGAATTGGATTCAAGAGTAAGCCACCTGGTCTAATTGAATTAAATGATTATACTTTGATTCAAGAATGTTAAAAACAACAATAAGATTTTGTTCGCATTTAAATGTAATTATATCAAATGTTCCCATTATATTTAAATTACATTTTGTTTATATTAATAATTTATAAATAATAAAAAAACCCTTATACCGACTTATATTTAAACTAATCATATGACAATATGACAGATCGCATACTCATATGACAGATCGCAAAATGATATGACAAATCGCATATTCATATGACATTAAAACATCAAATATATAAGCTAAAGACACGTCTATTCTTAACTACACAACAATAGGATAGATGACTAATTTTTATTTAAACGTCCGTCTGGTAGATTATTTTAAATCATTAGACACGTATTTTTTATTTTCTTACAGAAACGAATACTTTCGACGATATATTGATTTGAAATGTCGCGTGACGTCACTTCTGTGTACATTTTATACGTAGAAATGACGTAGCTAGCCCCCACTCCTGAACTTTGACGTTTTTTTTAAGTATTGTTTTATTATCGTTTTATCTAAGTATAAAAAAAATACGTGTCTAATATTATTTCATTACCTAACTGACGGACTAATTATATTTTTAATTTTCATCCCGTCATCATCCCTATTGTGATCGTTTAACATCATATGACAATATGACATTATGTCAAGGACACTTGACATTATGTCATTTGTCATATGATTTTACAATATGACATTATGTCATTTGTCATATGATTTTACAATATGACATTATGTCATTTGTCATATGATTTTACAATATGACATATTATGTCATATGGTTTTACAACATCTTTCTGATCATGTAGTTGAGGATGCCTCCGTTCTTGAAGTAAGTGAGGTCGACTTCCGTGTCGAAACGTACTTTTACTTGGAATGTTGTGCCGTTGTCCACCTGTGGAGAAGAAGGTAAGATTAGTATAAAAATTACTCGACACCGCTACTCTTGGCTCGGGTGTCGTATACCAGACTATGACTCTATATTTAACAGAGACCGTGCAGATAGATTGCTGATCTATCACGTGAAACGTCAAAACGGCTGAACAAATAGAGATGAAATTTGGAACAGGGGTTTGAAATTTAGATTGTGGTGTATGGAAGAGTTAGGCTTCGGCACTGCTGAGCCGAGTCGACCGGAGTGATACCACCACAGAGCAGACACCCATACTAACACACAGTGGAGTGTGCAGTCGTGGGAGTGAGGTTACTGGAGAACCAATTAACCCCCCCCCCCCCTTCCGATTCGGAGTCGCGGAAAACCTAACGGGTAACCGGGGCTCCGGCTCGACGTGGAGGAGTAGGAACGGGGTGGCTTTTAGTCAGTAAGAGTCTGACACTCCCCTCCGCCTCACCCAGGCGGCAGAAGTCATTCGATGATTTTTCCCTTAAACCCCCTCCAATCCCTGAATCTCCAACAACCCTCAAATTCCTAATTCCCCAAAAAGTCAGTAAGGCATTAGTAACGCCTCTAGTGTTGGTGTCCATGGGCGACGCCGATTGCTTACCATCAGGTGATCCGTCTGCTCGTTTACAGGATTATCCCATAGTAAAATGCACGACATTCTTACCTGTACAGTAATAATCTGTCCCGGCGTAATATTCTCGGGTAGATCAATGCTGAACACTTCACTGCCGTTCAGTCCAAAGGTGTCAGCGTTCTGTCCATCTAGGAACTGTAGCGGGATGATGCCCATACCGACCAGGTTGGAGCGATGGATGCGCTCGAACGATTCCGCTATCACTGCCCGGATACCCTGTAAGATTCAATTTACTTATTAACCGATTTCAAATAAAAGGTGGTTCTCAAACTAATTATAATGATATATATATATACGCATTTTATCCCCGAAGGGGTAAGAAGAGGTGCACATTACGGCACTTAATGCCGCTGTACAATGTAACACCCACTTTTCACTATTTATGTTATGAGTCCCATGTAATAGGGGGTGAGCCTATTGCCATATACCGGGCACAATTTCAGCCTCCGTGCTACTATTGAGTTTTTTTTTTAATTGTATTTTGCCCGACCCGGCAATTGAACCCAAAACCCCTTGCCGATGAATTTGTGCCGCATCGCATTGATGTATACATTGGCGCATACATACATACAGGTCCAACTGAGATCCTCCTTTTATTTGAAGTCGGTTAAACAAACGTATTTGTTAAATTTTAACATAACGCCTTTTATCCCCGAAGGGATACGCAGAGGTGCACATTATGCCACTGTACAATGTAACACCCACTTTTCACTATTTATGTTAAGAGTCCCATGTAATAGGGGGTGAGCCTATTACCAGTCACAATTACAGACACCGTGCTACTACTGAGAATTTTTTTAAACCCCTATATTGCCATACACCTATATTGGTATATTGCCCTACCCGGGAATCGAACCCAAGACCCCTTGTCGGGCAGTCGCACTTGCGAACGAGCGCTTAGCTTCACTGACGGACTGACTGACAGACTATTATTTATTTCATATTTGTTGACGTTTCAAAAGTACCAAATTATGGTTTAATTGAAATAAATGCTTTTGAGTTTGAGTTTGCGACCATTCGGCCACCGAGACAGTCAGTCGTTAAATTTTAACTCGTCGAGTACTGTCATTATAGACACATTTATAGAACAATAGGTTGCGGTCACCGGTGACCGCGCGGTGTTTGACAGTTTAAGGTGCAATTTTAATGTTACAGACCTCCATGTTAAAATGTATAGTTTAACAATATACTTACAAGTAAATAAGGTCCCTTGGCGGCCCAGTCACGACTCGAACCTGAGCCATAGTCCTTGCCAACCACTGCGATGAGGGGAACATTCTCGGAGGCGTATCTGTTGAAGATGTAATATTAATATGAGATGTAATTTTTCAAAATGTTGGTTTTTCACGTAAACGCGTTGCGACTGTTATTGCAAAAAGAAAAAAATAATTGCTTCTTGCTTTTGTTTGACTAGTTAAGACTATAGTCAGAATTCCAGATTTGACATTAGCTACTGTCATTTTGTGAAATAATGATACCACATATAATAGTGTAGTGATGAACACAAAAATCGATAAACAATCAGTGTGGTGTTTTATAATAAATGTTACAGAAAGTGACAGGATAGCGACATCGATGACGGCGACAATCTATAAATAAATTATTACCATAATACATCTATATGTTTTATTTGTCATGTTCCTTCATGATTACATTTATTTATTTATTTCACACACAATTATAAAAGAAAAGTCTCAGATCGTTAATTAATCGTCAAAACTAAATTCTCGATTCAGAAATATTTAATTATCTGATATACGTATACTTAGTCTACGAGAGTAAAATTATAAACAAGAAGAATCGATCCAGAATTATTCCATTTTCATATCGAATAATTTCGCAACATCACTATTTAGTACTTGTCATAACGTTGCAACACTGAAATTGTCAAATCTGGAATCGAATTAAAATTCCGAGTAAAGTAATCAATATTGCTGATAGTTATAAGTGTAATAAAAATGTAACAATAGTATACGTATAAAACAAATCCATGTACAATCTTGATTAAATGATCCAAAATAGTATTTTTTTTGTTTCAGTCAGAAAAAAGTTACGTCATAATTGCCCAGACCCCCCCCCCCTCTCTTCAACGGAAGATTAGATGAGATTTGAGTCTACCCCCCCCCCCCTTAAACATATCACGTAATTTATGGACGCCTTAAGTCAAGCGTGTCTTTGCATTATTCTCACATATACATATTTACAGTATTGGAATATGTATCAGAGACATTGTAGAACATACTTTTTTAAAAAGAGTAACGAATGGAGTTTCTTGCTCGTTCTTCTCCATTCGTATCTACATTTTGGAACGCCTAGCTTCACTAACGGACAGACTGACGGAGTATTATCACTACATAGTATAAAACAAAATCGCTATCCGCCGCCTGTCTGTCCCTATGTATGCTTAGATCTTTAAAACTACGCAATGGATTTTGATGCGGTTTTATTAATAGATAGAGTGATTCTTAAGGAAGGTTTGTATGTATAATACATGTATATTGCACCCGTGCGAAGCCGGGGTGGGTCACAAGTTATTTTATATTCGATTTAAATGCAACATATTAGGGTGGTCAGTAGCATTAACGGTGTATTTGTTCATTTTTTAAACTATTGACATTAATTTCTCCATTTAATAAAATTCAACAATAGTAGGTATAATTTTAATGATTGTAATGAAATGATTATACAATAATTAAGTCAATAGTTATGACCAATAAAGAGTATAAAAAATCATCTATTTTGTTATTTTTCTGCTGGTGGTACTATTTTGACAGTTATTGTGTCAAATTGGCAGCAAGCGCGGTCCTATCCTTATTTGGCACGCATAGTATGGGAACGCACCCACGACACAGGAGACAACCCTAGTACAGGGCAGTTTATGTAAAAAAACTAATTACTTCTCAACATACCTGTCAGCAGCGTCGAATATATCCATGACATCCCCGCTGGGATGGTGCGTGGTCTTAGGTCCGGCGGTGGGCGCCATCTTGTTGACGAGCCGAATGTTCGCGAACGTGCCGCGGGACATCACTGCGTCGTTGCCGCGACGGGAACCGTACGAATTGAATTCTCGGGGAGTTAGACTGAAATAACATAACATAAT